CATACTAGGAATTTGTATAGGGCAGTGGTTCTCAAACTTTTTCACCTGGCCAGCTACTTTCAAAATGACCAACGGTTAACTGGGTGGGGTTGCTATGGCGTTTACTAGGGATGCTCCGATCAAACAAAACAACAAATTATTACATTCAAACTAACTACTTATAGATGAAGTACATCATTCAAAAGTTTAGATTCACTTTGGATAATAACACGGGAGAAACGGAGGCTCTATTTTCCTCTCTCTTCCGACAGCCAGTCAGTTTCAGACTCATGCAGCTCGCTAATCCGGTAATGAGTGACGAATAAACATATTTATAACTAGTTTAGCTTGTTCCAGAGGTAGATAAAAATAGTTAAGTGTGTTAGGTCTAACTTGTGTGTGTGTGTGTGTTCCGCTCAACGGTCCCTCACAACAGGAGGAGCTGCGGCGGTGATCATGTAGAGCTGCGTGTGGCGGAGGTTGAAAGCAGATGGCCAGCATTGTTTTCAGAAAGACAAGTGAGTATAAAGCTTTCACATGTACACCCCCTCTTTATAATTGAAGAATAATTTTAAAGAATTGTTTATTTGTCATTAGGGGTGCAACAACTAATCGACTTAATCGATTAAAATCGATTACCAAATTAGTTGGCAACTAATTCAGTCGTCGATTCGTTGGTGACGTCATCACATGTGTTCTACACCCCGTTAAACTCCAACGTTATCGCTCTTTTTTATCGATACAGGAGACATTTAAAACATATGTCATATGTATTATTGCTACATAAACATTATATCGCAGTCTTAGTGTCGCCAACTCCGTTTCTAATATGCAATATGACTATAAAATGCGTCTATAATGTATTTTCGATCTTCCCAACTCAGACGAGAGATCTCTCCCCCGCCTGCTTGCGAGGGGGCGGGGCAGTTTACACACACGCAGCTGCTACATGCATGCAACACACACACATGGAGGAGATGGTGGAGAGAACGCGCTCCGAAGTGTGGTTAAACTTTAGCCGTCTCGATGTGAACAATGCTCGTTACCAAAAGTGCAATAACAGTTTATCATGTAAGGGTAACGTTTCCACGTCAGGTGTTATGTATGCTAGCAGCAACACACAGAGTTAACTCAGTTATAAAAACATGGGTTAATGATTAGAGGTAACAGAGTTATTTATTTTGTTAAAGTTTCAGCTATTCTGTTTACAGTTCTGTCATCACATTATTTAATATGATTTGTTAAAACATTGTTGTTTCTTTTGATGCGAAATATTATTTATTTAATTTAAATAAAAAGCAATGTTAGTTTTGTTCACAATTTGTTTAGTTAGTTTACCTTATTTCTTGTCAAAAGAACCGTTAATAGCCTACTATCGTTAAAAGGACCGGATCGATAAGCAGTATCGATATAAGTAGTAGTACAGTTAAAACCTTAACGAGCCGATTAATCGATTAATCGTTTCATTAATCGATAGATTAATCGATTATCAAATTAGTCGTTTGTTGCAGCCCTATTTGTCATACAGCTTTGACACATCAACACATGCGTGCAGTGGGAGGCGACACATCAACACAAAAACACATGTACAATGAAATGTGCTCTGCTTTTCACCCATCTGTGCTGTCCTTCGTCCAAGGGCAGCCAGGAGCAGTGGGTGTCTGCAGGGGCCGCTCCCTGTCCAATCTTGAGTCAGGGACGAACAGGAGAGCAATCTATTCTTCTGAATGTTTTAATATTGGGGTTCTGTTTTGGTCCTTACAGATTGCTGCTGAGTTCACGCGTCTTGTGGCTGCTGACCTCCCCAAGTCCTTTCTTTCTGGACTCGACCGGCATTTGCCAAGACTGCTCGAGTTGTACAAAGCACGAGAGAGACGCGACACAAAGATTCACCGTCTGCTGGAGTCTGAAGTAAGTCAAGAAGTTGCTGTTAGATTGCTGCTAGACCGCCCCGTTAATACAGTGATGTCTTTACATGCCGGAGACCAAACTCTTTTATTTTTTATCTCGGTGAACATTTTAGTTTTTGAAAGACTAGCTAATAAATATGGATTGAAGCAGAATATTTTGTTTGATAAAAACATGTTGTCTATGATGAAAATTAATACATCTATCTTTTTTACAATAAATGTTGACTTTTGGACTTTACAATGCCATAAAAACACATCCAAGCAACACATTAATGTAACAGATCACATGTAATATAGTCAGATCTATCGTGCTCTAGGTGGGCAGTGATATATAAGCCTATTCATTTAGCATTCACACAGTCGGTGATATTTTGCCAGCTGTCCTTTCTGCATTTGTCCGTTTAAACTGTGTTGCTTTTAGCCGGTTTATGATTTTAACTTCTTGGTTCTTACGATCCGCGAGCACCATGCTGTGATTGGTCAGTAGGCGGCGCTTTTGTACGAGTTGATCTGATATCACGAACATAACCTGCTCCGGAGCAGGTTAGGCATTCAGCATAAGTTACCGCGTTGATCTATCCCAGTAAGAAGTGAACCACCTTCGTAGTACAGAAAACCCAGGGTTAAACCTGAAGTGACCTCGCTAACCTCAAATCCTGCTTCGTAGTACAGGCCCCTGGTCTGTCTAGTTTATTTTCTTGATGCCTGTTTTGATGTTTTTGCAGAACTCCAACCAGAACAGAAGGTCTGCAGCACTTCTTGGACTGCCATATTTCATGAAGGATCCCTCCAACTTCATCAAGTTCTGCGAGGTACGTTTCAAACTTAATAAGAGATGAGTTCCTTAGTGTTAATGTAGCACCCACCTTGACAGGCCATGTTCTTGCAGATGAATTTCATCTGTTGCCATCAGGGCGTAGATATGCTCTACCTGCTCTTAAGACTAATCGCTTTTCAAAATCATTCATCCCCTCTGTACTCAAACTTATACATTCTTGGTAGGTTTTTTAACTTGACTATTTATTTATTTATTTATTTATTGTGATGCTATGAAACTACTTATCGTGTAAATTGGAATGATCCACATCTCTGCCCCCGGGTGTATCTATCTGTGTGTTTTTCTTCCTGTATGTTCCTCCCTGTACATGACATAAGCTGCTCACAACCAATTGCCCCTTGCGGGATTAATAAAGTTGTTGATTGATTGATTAGTTATTCAATGTTTTCTGATATAATTCAGGTCACTGACTCAGAGGAGGCGGCAGCTGTAAACGGAGTGGATGTTGGCGTACTGATCGTCACTGAAGAACGGGAGCCGGCAGCCCTACCAAGGAATATTGCGGATGTTGCTGTGATCCTGGAGGGGCGCATTGTTTTGCGCAAGCTGCGAGATGTACCAACCGGCTTTGCTGTGCTGATGGGCATACTTTACAGCCTCAACATTGATTATCCTAAGGGACTGAAAAATACCTTTGAGGTCATTCAGAAGGTAATCATGGACATTGGGGGAGGCCCCTGCTCTGCTCGGGCTCATGGACTGCGAAACAAATTGCTTCAGGGAACAATATAGAGATGTGGTTCCCTTCCCTGTCTGGGTTCCACCTTAAGGTTATTTAATGTGGTTATTTGATGTGCTGCACAACTCCAAGGCAGCCAGCAAGACTTGTTCTGTTCCAGCTAAACTGCATTACAAATGTTTAACAATTTCCATTTAAACAGGGTGCTGGATTTTCCCTCTGTTGTTAATTTTGGAATTATATGTTAGCTTGTTATTTTATGAAATGATAATATATCTGTCAAGTATAGAGTGCCACAGTGACGCGTCCTAAAACCCGGAAGTAAGCTGCACATGGGTTCCTTCGACAAAAAGCAATGCAATTTCTCCATAGGATTTTGGAAAATAGCTCGAAATAAGGTCTGTGGTTGAAACACGTTTAAGAGACAGATCACGTTTTGTTCAGCCGGATAATCTCCACATGTCTACCCTATTTATATAATTTTCTAATCATAAATATAATCGATAGATTTATGATTGATAGATTTATGATTAGAAAATCATGAAAGTAGGGTAAACATGATATTATCCGGCTGAACAAAATTTGATCCGTCTCTTAAATGTGTCTCAACCACACACCTTATTTCGAGCTAGTTTCCAAAATTCTATGGAGAAATTGCATTGCTTTTTGTCGAAGGAACCGGAAGGAGTTTACATCCGAGTTTTAGGACGCGTCACTGTGGCACTCTATACATGTTTATACAGATTCGGTTAAAGGCACAACTTTTCATTGTTTATCCACGTAAATATGAACCAATACAATATCTGTTTGCTGAACTGTAGCATGTTTTTAAGTTTGGCTTGTTTGCAGTTGGATAGATGTTTCAAAGAAAGGCGTTGCCTTTAAACATATATTACTCGAGGCATAGTTCGTTGTTCTATTAATAATGTGCTGCTGATGTTCCGCCTTGAGCTACTGCACTTTCAACAAAGTTACTACATTATGAATAAATGTATGTTTTTGATTGTTAATTGTTTCAGAAATTCACTTCACCAGTTTGAAAATGTTGGATTCGGTAGCCAGAGCAATTGTTAATTCAAAAAAGTTTTCTGAATTTAAGATTGCTAGATCAGACAACTTTCTATGTTCACTGAACATAAAGTCAAGTTTAAACCACTTTAATAACTTTGTTGGTACTGCTAAAACGAATAAGTTGATGAGACTTAGGGTAGTCTATCAATTGAACTAATTATTCTAAGTTTAAGACACTTAAGGGTGAGTTGAGAGAATTTGAGAAAAGTTGTTGATGCAACAAAAATATTTGTTCATTTGACAAAAAAAAAGAAGTTCACCGAATGGTTTACTTGCTTTATTTATAGTCCTGTGAACTTGGTTTTTTAAGTTGGAGAAATGTAATGGAGAGTTGAAATGACTTGATATCCTTTCCTGGCTAAACTTAATTGAGAGTTGAATTTACTTGAGATACTTTCCTGGCCCTAATCAAAATTTTAAGGCAACAGGGTTACAAATTATTTTAAGTTGAGTCAACTTGTATTTTTTTACAGTGTAGTACTAGGGATCTACAGCTACCTGGCACAACTAATCTCCTGCCGTCTTGCTCTTCCCCCTCATAAAGCAGGTCATTGTGGAGAAAGTATGCTGCACCACCTACTAGAGCGGTTTGATTGGCTGAATTTAACACCTTGGTTAGCACAGACTTTAACAAGGGATCAGACTGTTGCAATATGGTCATATTCTCTGGTATTTCCCACTTTACATTTGACAAAGCATTGCCAGGCATTTCCCCAGGTACAGGTGACCAAGCGTGTTTCTCTAACCGCCGTTGCCGACGTGTTTTCCTTGGTGCTTTTGTTCCAGCACTGCACAGACTACCACATAAGTCTGGCAGAGGCTGGACACCAGGATTTGCTTGGGCTTTTGCCTGTGACCGTGTCACTACGAAACATGCATTTTCTGTCCTGACAAGGGTTCATAGACATGTTTAGTACTGCTAAGGAGATCATATAGAATAGGCAAATCCCTCCCCAACAGCATCTCAACAGGTACACTTTCAATTACCCCCATGTTTAACAGATACCTTTGGCCTTCTACATCAACTGTAAGCTCTACCTGTGGTTCTGGCTTGCAATCACCATGTACACATAACACATCTGTCTGCTGGTTGTAGTCAATAGCACAAGGCACACAACTTTTCCTAATGAATGACATGGAGCTTTCAGAGTCAAGGAGAGCAGTTATCATTTTACCATTAACTTTTACCGGGATCACTTTACATCCTCCTTCCCTGTCTTGACAGCCAATCTCCTCACCCTTTCTGGGCACATAACACAGTCCTGTCAGTTTTGGCTTCTTCAGGGGGCAATCTGACGCTTTGTGTCCCTGCTGCTGACAATGATAACATACAAAAGGTTTAGTCCCTGACTGAGCAGAGGGTCCCCTGTTACCTTGACCAGTCTTTGGAAAGTTGTCCCTTTGGTGGTTCCAGTCCCTGGTTTCATCCCGCGTTGGAACTGCATGGCCAACTTGGATGCTATAAGACCATCCTCCGGTTCATGTTCTTTTACCCACGTACGAGTATCTGGAGGAAGCACCTGCAGCAGCTGCTCCAGGATGATAGTCTCCCCCATCTGTTCTTTACTCTTCTGCTCCGGTCGCATCCAGCGACGATAGAGCCCTTTCAACCGGTGGTATGATTCTGTCGGTGTCTCCCCCGGTGGCGATGAGGTGGCCCGGAACCGCTGACGATAGGTCTCTGGAGAGATGTCAAATTTGACCAACAGCGCCTCCCTCAGATCTGGGTAGTAGTTGGACATGTCTTCATCCATCGCTGTGTAGGCCTCCAGGGCTTTGCCAGTTAGCAAAGGGACAAGTCGACAGGCCCATTCCTCCCTTGGCCACTGCCATGTCTTTGCCATGCGTTCGAAGCATAGAAGGTAATTTTCAATGTCTTCACCATTTTGATACACTGGCATCTTTGGCTCCTTACGATGAACTGCCGCTACACCCCCAGAAGGATTACCAAATCTGTCAGGAGAAGACATCAATGAAGGCCCAACGTCAACGTGTGGACCCCCCCAGTAGCGATGTACAGGCTGCTGGGAGTCCTCAACTGAGACCCGCAGGCCCCTGAACTCCTCCTGTAGGATATCATCTCTCCTCTGCTGAGCCGCTATGAAGTCCCTGACAATATTTACAATGTCACCGGTTGAGAGACCCGCTCCTGGAGATGGCCCAGGTTGCCGCTGCTGGATTTTCGGTTTTGCCCCTTGGGTTTCAAAACCAATTGATAGTCCTTCTTCCTCTGACGTCACAGCTGTGTCCCATTCCTCATCCTTCTTCAAAAAAAGTTTTCGCTCAGAGCGTAGTCCAGTTCGTTTTTTAACAACACATCCATTTTTGCGACTGGCCATGCAACTTCTGACACAATATGTTACAAAAAGGTTCGATGGAAAAACTAGGAATTAAATAAGATGGCTAGAGTCACGAAAAATGTATCCTTAGGTGCTTTTATTGACAGCGAACATGCTGAAAAACCACAAAGTAACCAGGATTTTACAGGAAGAAAACAAAAACCTCATATATACTTTACAGGTCGAGGACATATAACTGGTACCTCTCTGCTCTACAGCCACAGTCAGACTCCCCCCAAAACACTTGTGGCCAGGGTTTTATACATGTTAAGCCCCTCCCAATAGGATAATCCACTATGTATACCCCTAACCAATGTCATTATAATCTACAAACACATTCACAATGCAAGACAAATTACCCAAACACACCAAATCAAAATAGGTCAACATATTATCTCTTTCTGACCACAGAAGGCCCAAACAATAACATTTGTATACTCGCAAGAAAAGTGCCACCCGCGCCCATGCACTACATGGTATGCTCCAATTGAGCACAGGTGTTCCCACTGATTGAGCCTCTACTTAAGGCTGCTTCTTTCTGTTGCTCTGTTTGGCCTTCACAACCTTGAAGGAGAGGGTAAGCAGGTTACTTGCAAAAAGACTTCCAATAAATTAGTTTTGAACAAACAATGACTTGGGTTTTATTTTATCAATGTGTGTTACCCTCAGTGTGCCTTTTACCATGCCTCTATGCCAACTGTGATGAAGGCTTCTTCTTCACAGTATGAGAGTAGGCCTGTCACAATAATACATTTTGTTGGACGATACATTTTCCCGGAAATGATTGCGATACACGATAATATTGTCGGCACCATTGTAAGCCCATTTTAGACCACTGACATAATGATAATATATAATAATAATAATTCAAGTACATCATTTTTTATTGAACATTCAACATTGCAAATTAAATGTGAAATAATATTTAAATATATAAATTATATATAATAAATAAAACAAATTAATTAAATTATAAAACATTTATTAAATAAATCACACACAACCAAAACAATAAATTAAATAGACTCAGGCTGGAAAAAGTGCTCTCTTTTCGCCAAAACACGCAATTGCATTTGTGAAAATGCAGTAGTAAAAATTTCAATTTAAAAAATAAATAAAGTAAGTCTGGAAGGTGGGGGCTCTCCATCTCCAGGTGCCATGTTTGCTCCCAGCTGGGAAAACGGAATGGGGTGGTTGTGTTTCAGGTGCAGTTTAAAGTTGGTCGTATTGCTAGCTTATGTTGCTACCTAAAACAAATGCGACATACCGGCTCCTTCAAGTCCGTAGGTTCGCCTCGTTGATTTGACTTAATTCCAAAATATTCCCACACTGGAGATGTGGAATTAGGTTTTGCAACCAATTCCATTTAACTTAAAATTTCCCTCGAGTAAGTCACACGTCTTAGTCTCCTGCTTGTCTCTATATTATTAATTTGGCTGCTACACTGTTGCATGCGGAGTGTCCTGACCTGGGCCCTGTCTCAGGTCGACTATTTTCATTTCCTCGCTCCTCGGTCCTTGGTCTCACCGGAAGTTGATTTGTCTGCGCCATCTTGAGTACCGTCCCATGGCTCTTATTTCTGCCGGAGGACCGAGGATCGAGGAGCGATAATGGAGGAGCGATAATGGAGGAACCACCAGTCCATCCTCCGATGAAATCCTCAGATACTCGCCCCGCCCCCTTACTGTGTATCCCTCACTGATTGGACGATGCAGTGCATGCACTGATCTCATGCTTCTTGACATGAGAGCAGTACCCCAGCGGAGTGAAGAAAATAAATGAAACTCACAAGAGTCACTCCTCAGTTTATACTGTGTTTTGTTTCAATTCATGTATCATTTAGTTACAAATATGTGATATATCTGAACAACAAAGTGGTCAAAAATCATTTTATTCATTTGTTGGAAACATTTTCATGATCGCTTTTTTCGTTTTACATGTTCATTTATTGTCATTTCCATTCAGTCAGTCATTAAGTGCTATTAAAATGTTAATGTGCTACATATCCACACAAACAAACAAAGTGTCCAATGAATGTTAATCTAACTGGGTTTTGATAGATAACATATCTCTTTTTCTTCTCTGAATTATTTTATTTCTATTGTGTACTCTAATCAATATTAATCAAACTATTGTTCGTTTATACATTTTAAGAATGGCGTTTATCTTTTTTGAGAATTAGTTCTTATTTTATTTTTATTTATTGGGGTCTGCAACAGATGATACAAATGTTTGTGTCAGTAAATGTGTACTAACAGAGGCGGGGGTGTGTGGAAATAACGGGGACAGAGCTGGCTGCTGTCAGACGATCAGCTGTGCCGCGTCATCACAAACGGACGTCGCTTCACGTGACGCTCCGGAGGAAAGGACATCCCAATTTCCCTGCTTCTCGTGGTTACCTTGAGTCCCTCCATGCTTCCCTGGTGGGAGGGACTAGACGCAGGGAAACGACGCAAGTGAGGGAAGCAAGGAATCCATTTAACCGACCTGAGACGGGGCCCTGGCTGTGTGAGAGCCCCGCCCCTCACAGCGCGCCGGGCCGGTGTGTTCGGGGTCCGTCGCTTACCAATGACGTCACGCATTGTGATTGGCTGTACGGTAATCGCACGCTGATTGGTGTAACTAGGGGCGCTGACTAGGGTATACCGGTATACCGGGGATAACGGGTCACAACCGTGAGAGACCTGTTATCATTCAGGAAACGACAGTGAAGCATCTGGGGTGTTTTCTCCACATAACTACTCACGTCACTGTCACTAGTATTTATTTATACATACTAGGGCTTGAATAATTAAAATAACGTGTTATAGCAGGAAGTTTAATACGGTGTAATTCTGGTATATTCATTTTTAATGTCATCTGATATACGTGTGTTTTTGTATATAGTCATGTGTTAAATTTGAATGGACAAAGTACATTTTTTCCTCTTAATTATAGAGAGGTTTTTTATATATTCCTGAAACAATGTCCCCTTTTTAGTAAAAGTAGATTAGCGCAATAGTCTTTTCTTCCACTTTTATGTATAATCAAAAGGGTGGTTTTTTGGCTATTTGTGAGTAGGTAAGGTACAGTACAGCATGTGATTTCTGCCTTGAGTAAAATGATTACCCGTTGATAAGTATTTTTCAGTGGTTTATATATATATATATAGAAATTGTTATTGATTGGGATAAACCCCTTGAGATGCACCATCTCGTCTTCAAGGGGGTCCCGACAATAGCAACAACTTACAGACATAAACAAAAAGACCAAATGCAATACATGACACACAAGACAAACCACATACAGTCTGTTAAGTAAAATTCAAGCAATGCATACAATCATTACAATTTGAGACAGTCAAGCAAATCAGTTTCATCAATATCAGTTTCATTAATAACAAGTACAGACCAGTTGAAAGTGAGATGATAATGCATGTTTAAATAAACCCAATGATGCAAGAGATCTAATGGCAGCAGGTAAAGTATTCCAGTCAGTTGGGGCTTTGAACATGAACGCTCTTCTGCCAATCAATTTTTTTGCAGAGGGGACAGAGAAATAAATCTGAACAGAATGTCTAACTTGATGATTTGGTGAGTAAGGTACAAAATATTGCTTTAAATAAGGGGGATAGTTAAGATAAATGCATTTAAATATCAGCTGAAGCCAATGCGTGTGTCTTCTTACATTTAAAGAAGGCCATTTAAGTTGGTTATACATTGTGCAGTGATGTGTACGAAAAGGACAACCAAGAACAAATCTGCATAGTCTATTGTAGGCTATGTTGAGTGGAGTGTTGATATCCAGCATGCATTAGCTAAGAAACGATAAGGATGTTAAGTGTTAGTTAATGAGAGAAATGTATGTGCGTTCATTTCCTGCAAGACTCCTAAAGAGCATGAGACGATTGGGTCACACACAATTAGAGAGACAATGGTCCTTCTGATTCTGGGTGAGCTGACTTCGGGTGGAAGGAAGTTCAGAGATGGCCTGAGGGTATGAGGACAGTTAATCTTTGTTGGTTAGCTGGTCCTGAGGAGGTCATGAGATGATGACGGTTAAATCTATACAAGCATAGCTTTCATAAAGAAAAACATGTGACTGTTGTGTGATAAGCTACATGATAAGATGAGTGTTCATTCTGTCAAAGAGTCCTCTGTCTGTGAAATTATATTACTCCAATGCATGACAAGGGGGACTGCCTCAGGGTAGACACACACACACACACACACACACACACAGGAGATGGAGCAACAGATGGAGTTAACAACTGCTGAGTCATTGCCTAGGGTTCGCCCAGAAGTGAAACTGGCCAATGGAGAACTACCAGCTCACTGTCTTGGGCTCGCGCAGAAGTGAAACCGACCAATGGAAAACTGCCAACTCACTGGCTAGCTCGCCCAGAAGTGAACTCGCCAATAACAAATAGCTAGAGAGGATGAACCGACACAACTCCTCCCACAGAATGTGTATTTAAGCTGTAACATTCTTATGCTCGATGCTGTCTTCCTGACTGGCTGTTGTGGTACGTATATCACACGGTGGTAGGAAATGAGCCCGGAGTACTGTTGCAGTGCTCTGTATGGTGTATTGTGTCTTTTACCATTAAAACAGATTATTGTTGAAAATGTTATCCTGGTGCTTTTAAATTCCTTCCTTTTATGATTTAAAACCAGCTCATCAAAAGGACACGCGGAGCCGAGGTGGGATTCAGACCACTCGCATCTCCAACAGGCTGTACCCAAATATCAGAATATTCGTTGGAGTAGCCTACTATTCGGATAGTCGTTTTGTTTTTTTTGTTTTTTTTCAAATTGAATTTATTGAAATCTCCAATATCAACGTAAGAGCTTGTGCCTCTTCGGGGGGTGCTAAAATGTAACCATAAACGTTATTGTTTACTTTCTCCGTCTTTATATGTAGATATTACTTTTCTCCGTTAATCTCCTTCACGTTGTTTCCATAGCAACAACAACTTCCTGTCAACAGCGCTACCTCTCCTTCAAAATAAAAGCATGTCCATAAATAGGAAGCCAAGCCAAATTACACTTAAGACATATACAACTGCAACGAAAGTAACAAACACAATGCGATATCCTTTTCAATTTCAAAGAACACAAATTGGGTTACATTAACAAATAACTATAAAACAACAATACTGTAGAATAACAAAATGAATGCCGTGAATACACCGAAATACACGTGTTGAAGCGGTTCGCTGCTGATAACTACTTAATTCTTAATTAATTCACTGGATTTGGGTCCGGTCACTCTATGAGATTATTGCTTCATCATAAGTTAACTGTTGGGTGTGGGTGTCAAAAAGTAGCTGGCAAGTCATGTTTTTATTTACCAAGAGATAGACCTGCATTGCTACACAGTCACACAATGTTTGATAGGTAACAGTGTATTTTGTTATATGGGAACCTGTTGCGGTGGGGTGTGTTAAAGGGTGCTGGTGGAGAGATTGGAGTGGCACGACCGGAAACCAGACAGCTGATCAGAATCAGGTAATGAGTCACTAAATAAATAAGTAACCTGGTTCTGGTCTCTTACAGTAGGCTGGGTCCTGGAGGGGAGAGTTA